AGCATGCTTCCTTTGTCCTCTTGTTTAGAGAATATGCCCCTAGCCCCACTGTTTCATTGCTTTTGGGCTGCTCATGTGTGTTCTCATTTTAGGCTACCCTAAGAAATATTTCTTTTGGGGCACTTGGGTGGCTCAGTTGGTTAAGCATCCGGCTTCGACTCAGGTCATGATCTCACGGTTCATGGGTTCGAGCCCCACGTCGGGCTCTGTGCTGACAGCTAGCTCAGAGCCTGGAGCCTGTTTCAGATTCTGTGTGTGTCTCTTTCTCTGACCCTCCCCTGCTCGTGCTGTCTCTCTCTCTCTCTCTCTCTCTCTCTCAGAAATAAATAAAACATAAAAAAAAAGAAATACTTCTCTCATTTTGGGTGATATCAGTTTATAGCATAGGCTAAAATCTCATACCTACCTTGGAATATCGGAAATTCTTTTTACGCTTTTCAGGTGAATATCCAACAACTAAGAGTTAATTCGTACATGGGGTAACTATTTTCCAAAATAATCAGTCTCTACTCAAAAAGACTGTAGCTGTTAATTATTTAAAGCATCAAATTCTTACTTATATGTTTCGAAGGTAAAGATTTCTAAAGAAAACTTTAATATGTTTGACAAAAATGACAGTGAAAATTACCAACATGATGTTTCCATGTTTGTCCACATAATTCAGGGCTTATCTGAAGTTTGTCCATGTCATGCAGATGAACAGCTCCTGTATAATTAACCTGCAAATTCCCTAGAATTGTGATCAGAAACAAATTTTCATTTTTTTTACTTCCATTATTTTCACATAATAAATTTCCCTTTATTCATTTTAACCTTTAGACAAGTGATAACTATCCACTGTAGAGAGAGAATGAACTTCAACCTTTTAAAAAGAGATCAGAGTAGAAATATCAATAGTAATATAAATGAATACCTTCTGAACCCCTCCTACTCACATAGCATTCTGCTATAGGTTACTGAGAAATATGACATTTCTTTATCTTCAGTGTACTTATAAGTAACTCAGAAAATAAAATATACAAAAAAATAATAACGCAGTGTGCCTCATGGTTCAAGAGTTATTGCAAGGCAATTATTAATTCAGCAGATATTTATTGAGTGCCTACTATGTGCTAAGCACTCTTCTGCATGCTGAGTTTTTAAAACATGAGTGTATTTAAGAACAGAAATGATCTTTGTCCTCCAGAGAGATGAGGCTGGAGAGTTAGGCAGGGATTGGGTGGGGTGAGGCCTTGTTCTTTACCCTTAGGACAGTGGGAAGGCATTGAAGGTTTTTAAACAAGAGATTGACATGATCCATTGTGTATTTTTAAAAGATCATTTTAAATGCCATGAGGAACATATTGGAGGGAAATAAAATGTGAAATGGGAGACAGAAAAAAATGTAAGCAGCATGCCAAGTAACAGACAAGGTCTTAGTGGTGGCAGTGAGGGCAGTGGAGCAGAAGGAAAAGGAGAATATGGAGAGAAAATGGACAAAGCAGATAGATTTGAAAATTATTTAGAAATAAAATCTAAACAATTTGATGATTAGATACTGGAGCTGAAGGAGAAAAGAAGGATCAAATCTACTCTGATTCCTTTTAAAAATGTTGAGAATCTTTGTTTCTGGCTTCTCCAACTGATATTGATGGTGCTGTTTTTAAAAAAAAAAAAATCAGGAACATTAGAGGAAAGCTGTGTTTGGGAGGAAGGTCTTTATGAGTTTGGTTATGAACAAACTCAGGTTGCAGAGCCTTCAAGACATCCAAGTTGAGATACCAATGATTCAGTTAGAAATGAATGTCTGGAGAGAAGAAAATGTTAAACTAAAGATTTGAGAGTCATAATGAAATGATAGCATGATATACCTTGGTGAGCTCTTTTATTAGTATGTACAATGAAAAAGAAAGTGTTTAAATTAAGGTTCTTTCACTATAAGTTAGAAGAGTCTGAAAATGTATCATGGGGGAAGGGGACTTGATCTTTAAAAAAAAAAAGAAAAGAGTACAGGGGCTAAGTGTCTGACTTCAGCTCAGGCCATGGTCTCATGGTTTGTGGGTTTGAGCCCCACATCGGGCTCTGTGCTAACAGCTCAGAGCCTGGAGCCTGCTTCAGATGGTGTGTCTCCTCTCTCTGTTCCTCCCTAGCTCATGCTCTGTCCTCAAGGATAAATATTAAAAAATTTCTTTGAAAAAAAGACTATAAGTAAGAGGAGAGAAGTAGAAATGAATGAAATGGCAAACACACAAAAACATAAATAAATTGCAAAGTCCATTTTGGTTGCAGATAACAGAGGATACCACCCAGACTGACTTAATTTAAGAAAAAGAAGGTCTGTAAATTCACACATAACTGCAAAGTCCAGAGTATTCCACCTACCAGCAAAACTCTGTATAGGGGTGAAATAGCATGTTCAGGACCCAGCTCTTTTTTTTCTATTTCTCAGCTATTTCCTTGGTGTTGACTTAAGCTCTGGCAAGTTCTCTCATGATCTCAGCATGGTTTCCAGTAGTTCCAAATGTTACTTGTTCACATGCTCATCCTAGCAAGAAAAACAAGTTGTTCTTTCACATAATAGGTCAAGGAAAACCCCAGAATGGTGATGGTTAACCTCATAGGGGCATGTGCTTATCTCTAATAGTGTAGGCAAAGATTGAGATACATAGATTATCTTAAGTTACTTAAGGTGCACCTGTGGAGTGGAGACAAACCCTCCCACCAAACCATGTAGAGTATTAGGGAAAGATGATAGGCTAGAAGAATGTATATAGGGAGATTGAAATGCCAAGTTAAGAACCTTGGACTTAATCCAGTAGACAAAAGGGAGCTCTTATATTCTAAACAAAAGAGGGATCTAATAAAATGTTTGAAGAAGTTAGGTCTTAAAGCAACTATAGGGCATACTGAAAAGTTTAAGAAAAAAAGAAAACAAGAATCTGTTAGAGTCTACAGTAATAGTCTAGAAAAGAGATTGTGAGAGCCCAGAATGTGATTGAGTAAGAAATGTTGGTAAAAGGGCACCTGGGTGGCTCAGACGGTTAAGCATCCAACTTCAGCTCCAGTCATGATCTCACAGTTGGTGAGTTTGAGCCCCACATAAGACTCTTTGCTTGTTAGCACAGAGCATGCTTCAGATCTTCTATCCTTCTCTCTCTCTCTCTCTCTCTCTCTTTTTCTCTACCCCTCCTGGCAGGTATGTGCTCTCCAATTTCTCTCTCTCTCTCTTTCTCTCACTCACTCTCAAAAATAGATAAACATTTATAAAAGAGAAATGTTGATAAAGAAGACAGTAATGAAATGATAGATGGAACAATATTTCAAAGAATCCGCAGTTCACAAGATAATAAGAATGAATTTTGCTATGGAATTTCAAACTCTTCCACCAAGACTTTAACTAATGTGATAGCTTTGGCTTGTGGTAAAGATGAGATCCTTTTTTTAGCCATGATACTGCACCCTCTTCTTCTAAACCCAGCTCTAAAATAGGCTTTCCATTTCATTTTGTTTTAATTAGTTACCATCATCCTGTGACCCATCATTCCCCACATGCACAGCTTTTCTAGAAGTGAAAAAGAAGACAAGTTCTACTGTCCGTCAGAATGAGGACTGTCTTTGACAACACAGAACAAGAACTTGCAGATTATAATGTAAAAAGATCTATCATTACAATTACAGCAGTGGCATTTAGTTTTGAACAAATGTTTTTTGAACACTTTGTCAACCTGCAGTGATTCTGTTAGCAAGCTCCAGAAAACCCAATGAGTTAAACGAGTAGAATTCCAGAGGAAGCAGTTGGTAGTGTTGGTTCAGCTGCTCGTCAATAGCAGGACCTATATCTTTGTGTTTTTCTACATTTTCATTCTTTTACATCATGGTGACAAGATGACTGCTTTACCTCCAAGTAGCATATCCTCATTCAAGGCAGGCAGTTGTGTGGAGTAGAGAAGAGGACAGGAATCTTTCTATTCATCAAAAAAGCAAAAATTTGCCTGCATTTCCTGCCCAGCATACTTCTTGTAGCTAATGGGCCAGAATGGAATCACATGACCATTCTTAGCAGTAGGGAGACTGGGAAAGTGAACATTTGATTTTCTGTTCTCTATGTATGAGACATAGAAAGGAAGAAGAAAGTTGGGCATAGTTTTTGGATGGCCAAGTATTAGAATCTTCCATGAAAAACGGTTGTTTTACAGTATACTCTGTGCTTACATGTGTATTACACTCTTGTCATTTTGTATTTGACTTTGTATTTGACTTGCTTTCTCTACCCTTGAGGGCAGTATTTTCATGATCTATTACCAGTTTTAAGAATAGATGTTTTATTCTCTTTTTCCATTAGCCACTACCATTGTCTGCTTAACATACTCAGCAAAGATACTAGGATTTTGGTTTCCCTGAGTAGGCAACACAGATTGACTAGAAAGGATGTTATTTTTGTTTATGTCTAGTTATCCTGGCAAGCGTTACCCACGTGAAAGAAAATATAGCAGAAGGACCAGATGATTCCATTGGGATTTTGTAAAAGTATCAAATTTTATCTTTTATGGGGTGTGATAGAGTCTCATGTAAGGATACATTTCCAACAGAACTCATCAACCTCAACGTAGAAAGAAATCCAGCATGAAAATCTAGCATCTGCATATCAAAGATAAAATTAGTAATCCCACTTGATGCAATGTTGAGAAGAAGCAGTCAATGAAAGCAGTATGAATGCCACCGAATCCTCCGCAGGCAGCAGCATCATGCAACCCTGACTTCACAATGACATGAAATTTTAAATGACAACTGTGCTAAATCAGGGAGCCGCAAACCCAGGCCAAGTTTAAATTTAGTAACACTGCCAGTTTACTGCAAATAGCCTTCTCCATAGCAGATTCTCTATAAATTTCAGGTGACCGACTACTTGTTCTTCTCTTCTGTTCAGAGATAATCAAGGACTCAGAGGCTCCAGCGTTGGTGTCTTCTCTTCTCAATGGCGTTTCTGGTGTCCACTTCCGGAGTCTCCCTGGCCAGCCTTGAAACACTTGGAAATTAGAGTCTACTGCATATATTCTTAAAAATTTCACTGTACGTGCTCAGAATTTTCTGAAGAAGCAGAAGGATTTGAAGGTAAGTGAATTTTGGAAGTCATTCACATTGTTGTGTAATGCTTAATTACAGCAAAATGAAATTTTAACATATTTAACAAAATATCTAAAAGTAAAAGCAGTTATTGAATATGAGGGAAGAGGCCATCTATGTGCAACTCCACAGCAAAAAAGGAAAATCAGATTCAAAGTTTAAAAACTGTTCTATGTCATGTAACTGTAAATACAAGCAAAGTGCAGTGGTAATCTTGACAACTGATAATCAGTTTCACACAAAAACATCATGATAACCACAGTGGTTCTCAAATTGTAATGTGCTTGAGAGTCACTTGGAGTGGGGAGAGGGTCTGTAAAATTTTGATTCCTGAGTATATTTCACAGAGAGATTCACTGGGTCTCAGATGTGACCCAGCAATCTGAATTTTTACTTACCCCCAAAATGATCCTGATGAATGTGGGTCTCAGGCCTTTGTGAAATGCTGAAGTTGGCATTCAAAACAATATTCTTCTGGGGCACCTGGGTGGCTCAGCCCATTAAGCATCCAGCTTCGGTTCAGGTCATGTTCTCACAATCTGCGGGTTTGAGCCTCGCATCAGGCTCTGTGCTGACAGCTCAGAGCCTGGAACCTGCTTCCCGTTCTCTGTCTCTGTCTCTGTCTCTCTCTGTCTCTGTCTCTCTGTCTCTCTGTCTCTCTGTCTCTCTGCTCCTCCTCCACTCGTGCTCTGTCTCTCAAAAATGAACATTAAAAAAAACCCAATATCCTTCTAATTTTCCAACTTTATATTAAATGGGGTTTTATGTTTCCTTCGGCTACAAGAATAAATAAGGAAGGCATATTTAGCACAGAGGTGCTAAATTAGTGTTCCTTTTTTGCCTCCTCCCCCCCAATTAAATTGTTAGTTCTCTTTTAATACTCCTTTTTCAAGTTCAGCATAATGGGCTAGGTCCCAGGGCTCTCTATCTCACTTTCAGAGTAAGTGTGCTGTCATTGCTGTCTTTAACTGGTTCTTTCTTCTCTATAATATTTTAGTTTATTCACGTTTATGCTTAGACGATCAGTTCTAAGAACCATCCAAGAAGATAGGAATAATGAGTTATTACCAGAATTGGCTAAGCATTTCTTTATTTTTGAAGGTTATTTTCTTTTCCTCTTAATTTGGGAAACTCAGCCTTAGATTTTTCAAAAGAACAGATTTGCTTAACACATCATTAACTTCTCATTTTCCTTTGCAGATAAAACCTTCTAAGTCATGTGATACCTTTATAACAGGTTATATGCACATTTATTGAATATCACTTTATTATATTTCTTGATCTCATTTAGCAACTTTATCTCTACTGTGCGCAATTTTAAGTTTATGAAAAGTTTGCTTTTCTTACTTCGGAGATAAAAGTGATTAGTAGAGACTTATTCAGAACAGAAAAGGTGATGATTCCTTAGAGGTACAACATGATATTATTTTCACAGTGAAGAGTGAAGTTTTTAATTAAGATACTTTGATTGAATTTTAGGTTTATAGACACTTTTTTTCATTCCATCAGTCTTTGTGTGCACATGTTCATTTTGTGTAGACTTTCTTGTCAATAAAATATTAAGTGGCAAAAATAAACCCTTAATTCAAAAAAAGTATATCCCTGTATTGGCAATTAGCTACACATATTAGCTATTAGTATTACACAAAGAAAATGAATCTAGACATGATTAAACAAGGTAGCACTTTTATCAACAGAAATTAGATAACTGTAATCATGAATTTTTACATGCTTTTTTTGTCAATACTATTCTCAATAAGCAATGCTCCCATTGCCATCTCTGATGATAAAATCCTAAAATTTATAGTACCCAAATTGTGAAATCCTCAAATATGTACTACACAAGTTCAATGAAGTTCTCAACTAAGATTTAATAAAGCTTTTAGTGCCAATCTTCTGTAATATTTTTATTTCAGAGAAACATAGAAACTACTATTCTGCTCTTTTTGTTTTGTTTTGTTTTTCTTTTTTCCTTCTCAGAGGAGCAGGTGGAGAGAGAATGAAATTGTGTCCTCGAGTGAGTCACATTCATTATCATTGGCATATCTGTCTTAAGTTGCGGCTCCCTAAAGAAAACTTACAGTGTAGTTTCAGGGAACCTGAGTGGGACAGCCTTCCATACTCGGGAAGTAAAATATACAACAAAAGAATAAATTATAGAAACTTTATTAAAGCATACAAACGTAAAGTTTTAGAGCATAAATAGACCATTAAGATCTTCTGGTCTGGTCCCCTCATATAATAGCATTTTTTCTCGGAATTCCAAACTTGCTGTATAGAAGGTTAATACGAACTAAGCAAGTGTTTTTCAATAATGATTTCTGGGGTAAGGAAGGGTAGAAGGAAATTTTCATCCAAGATGAAGGTTGAAGAAGTGATATTATGTCATTGAACTTAAAATCATTAATTCTTTTAGTTGTCCATAGATAATTTTTCGTGTCATTCATCTAAAAATGAAAACAGCCAATTTAGGTCTACCTTGGGTTTGGTCAGCCTTATGTGGAAATCTGATATTAAAGGAGAAAAAGAGCTCAAAGTAAGATACAACTTAGAATAGTAGAGCCATCTGGGACCACTCAGTATAGAGAAAGGAGATTTAGCTATGTAAGAATCTCTGGAGAATGTTAGTGTTAGTATGAGATAGTATAATAATGATATTTGTGAGATATCCAAAAAGATTAAAATGTATTTATTATTCTGAATTTAAGAAGTTGGAAAGTCATTAAAATTTATGTATTAACAGTATAATTATTGATGTGGGCTAAATGCTCATAATGTACTCTAAATGAAAAGAACAAGTTACAAACCACATTATGATGTGTTTCCATTTTTACAAAAAAAGAAAAAAACAAGAACAGATGCATAGGAAGAAAATTGAAATGATATATATCAAAATATTATTAATGGTTTTTGCTCAGCTAATAAATTATGGTTGATTTTTATTGATTCTCAGGGTATGTAAAACTTTTCTAAGTATGGGTTATTAATGTAATTTAAAAATATTTTTCAAGGGCTGTGAAAATTACTTTTATAGATCTGTAAGGTAGTCCTGATAACATTTGTTTAAAATAGTCTTAAAGCAAGGTTCTCAATCTTCTGGTATTAAACTGATTTAAATATGACAATATTACTTCCAATTAGAGCAAAATGATTTTTAGATATAACTGTTTGTGGATATTGCAATAGACTAAAATTTTCAAGGTTCCCTCTTCATTAAACACTAATAACTTCAGATTATGACTGTTAATTCCTTAGAAATATCCTTTATTTCGGTATCAGAGAATTCCAATGTGCTTTCAAGAATTTTCTAACTATGATAGTTTGCTCCATTTGGAGGATAATTTTATATGTTTGGTTACATTAGTGTTAATATGTCTTTGTTCTTTAAATCTCCAGCGTAACATACGGTTAGTCTCACCATTATTACTACCAGCTGCGGCTGGCCTATGATTTTTGTTCATTCTGTCTGAATCCAAAGTAATTAGCTCTTTAGTTTAATGACAATATTTGTTAATGGGTTTTTAGGGCCAAATTCTGCTGTTAGAGAGTGGGTGGTATATTTGAAGATAGAATCTGGCCCTTATGTTTTAAGCATAAGCTGTGTAATTTGATTTCAAAATGATGCTTTAGAGAGTTTCGGGTAGGAAAACGAAATCTACATTTATCTGAAGTTTCTCAGTTTCAAGAAACAGAAAGTGAAAGTGACAATTTATGTAAATGAACAACAAACTCACTGAAAATTCTCTAATACAGCTATCCTCCATGAATCGTCTGTACATAGTTGGAATAAGAAATGAAATGATAATTTTCAGGCAGACATTAGGTAGATTCACTTCTGTCATGGGGCACATGTTGAGTCCTTTAAGTGCAATGAAATGCTTTTGATCATTGTATTTCTTTCAGCTTTATTGAGATATAATTGACATATAACATTATATAAATTTAAGGTGTACAGTATGATGATTTGATACACATATTTTGCAAAATGATTATTACCACAATAAGATTAGTTTATATGTCCATCAGCTCACGTAATTAAGAGAGCAGACCTTAAGTGTTCTCACCACACACAAAAAAATGATCAGTGTGTTTTTGAAGGACTCAGTGAAATGAAAAGAACCTTTGCCTGGGGATCTTTGGGGTTCAAGATCGGACTCAGCTTCCTGATAGTGGCATGACCTTAGAGAACTCTCATTACCTCTCCTTGGGCTTCAGCTTCTTCATCCTAAAATAAAACCTTTATAGTTGATGATCCTGTAGTCCCTTCCAGCTCTGAAATGATAACTCTAACTTGCTTTAAGAAAAAAGCACTATGGGGAAGGCACAGGAGAGCAAGGAATACGCAATGAGTTGAGCCAACTGAATAACAAATCATTAAGTCTACTAAAAGGTACTTCGGAGACATTTTGGCCTTAAGAATTCACCTTCAGTGAATGACTTGGAACCTTTAGCCTATACTAGGGGGTTATGTGGAAGAGACTATAGGCTGCTCCGTTGGAAGTATTCAAGGAGACCAATTTTGGCAAAAGTTAAAAGAGGAAATAAAACTCATCTAGTAACAGTTGAGACATCTAACAATGGGATGAGATGCCTTGGGAGATCACGAATTCCCTGTCATCATAGGAAACAAAGTGGGTCCCAAAGGTTAAATGACCAGCCAACTGCCTTTCATGGTGTAAGAGCTAAAAGCAAATATTGTGAGCATGGAGGAACTCAGGAAATGCTGTTATCAGTGAGCCCTCCTGGAGGCCACTGTTGGAGGACAAACTCCATCAAACCTAGAAGTGACCATGGCAACAACTGCAAAAGAACCAATTGTGAGCATTGACCTGTTTAACCCTAAAACTAAATCTGAAATATGGATGTAGATGAGGGCGACAGACAGATCCTACCAATGTAACACCCTGTAGAACTAAAGCCACCAACAAGGATTAGGAGGACATGACAGGAGTAAGTTGGTGCATTGGCCGATTGCTTTATTCTTAATA